ACACACTACAGTTCCTGCCCCAGCGGGTTTTGGCGATGCGTTTGGCGACTGGGTGGCTGCGGAGTTTTTGTTTGGTCAGCTCCACTCACTTCAGTCTAGTTACTAGTTCAACCAAGAGCTCTTAGGCGTTCACAGCTTCATGGGGCACCTGGTTGAGTATGAAAAATAAATGTCACTTAACATCTAACAATTCCGAACCTGTCGGGTGGGGAACAAGCGATTTGCACGCTGAACCATTCCTTCCGCGGATTCCTATTTTGGCATGCCAAGACTAAGTTTCTTCGCATGATTCCGACCGCTGCGCATATGCTTCACGACAAAGGTTCAATGGCTGGCTCAGCAAATGTTCCGGTAACATGACTCTCAACTCTCAACGGATAGCTTGGCAGTAGCAAATGCTTCCGCCAACGCGAGCTCGACGGCTGGTTTTGGCAAATGTCTCCTGTCAACATGGTTCCCTACGCTAGCTTAGCAAATGGTTCACTTCAACATTAGTTCAATACGTTTGCTTTCTTCAGTACCGCTTTAGCTTTGTTTGGCAGCTTTACTGAGAAACCGCAAAATCATGATGACACAACTTGGTGGCTTGGCATTGGTGGACTTCTCACTCTGCCAACGCCGCTCCGTGCGTCCCTTCACAACCTTTGAGTCTTTGATTGCTTCTGGTGGGCTCCTATGTCGCGCCTCCTCGATCTGCGCACGGTTTAGGGTCGGGTCGGAGCGGCGGAGCATCAACGAGAACTCCTTGGATGCCATGGAAACGGATGAAGTTGGAAGGCTCCAATTGCATTTGGATCGGTTCCATCTCCTCTTGAACCCGTCAAGATCTAAAGGAATTAACTACCGGGGCAAAGCCCTGCCGCCAACAAACTACGCTAGCCGATTGCAAGAGTACTAGCCTTGAACGTTTGAACAGTTGTGCGAGATGTTGCTGAATTCACGAGCATGCAGCGGCACATATCTGAATGAGCAGTCGCTGTGGTTCCAAAGATTTACTTCTCTATTCCGCAGCGTCAGCATGCAAAACGCCGTGCAAGTGACATGTCAAATTGAGCGTTGAACAAGGCGATCTCAAGTGCTGGTATTCGCAGACGAAAACTCGGCAGCGGCTGCTTGTCATAGGCTGCTTGTTTGTCGCCAAGCGGCTGCAAAGCTCAGGCGACCGTCGCCATCCTCAAAGCAAGCGGGAAGGTCCCATGGAAGCCGAAGCGTTACTGCGGTTTGCCAATGCCTAGCTGTCCATTCATCGGACTCCGAAAGGCACCAAGTATGCGATCTCTCCTTGTCTGCCGTCTGGAAGGAGGTCTTGAATACCTTGGTTTCCACATGTGAGCCAAAGCCTGAGACCTAACACCGCCTGAAACCGCCTGACACCGCCTGAAACCTCGCAGACTCACAAGTCACCCCGCCCAGCAGTTGAGGCACGAGGTCGCGCCAGGGGTCGGCCTTCGGCGGCGGAGGCGGCCGGGGCCGCTGTGGCGAAAGGAGAGGCAGCTCCAGGGAGTCCGTCCTTCTGAAACAGAAACAGCAAACAAAAATCAGGGGGGCCCTCAAAGGGTGACGTCCTTTAAGACAAGCGACAGAAAACGGGAAGCCCCCCCCAAAAAAATGGCACGCCTAAATGATCCTCAGCCACGTGAATGCACGGACCGAACTTTATGGCGCAAAAGAGCACTGCATTACAAAGATTCAGCAAAATTAATTGCAAATGTTCCCTGGCCAGGTCAGTGCCAAGCTCAAGCGAACCTTCGAAGGGAATGGCCATGACTTAAAAGATCCCCAAATAAACCAAGGCCGGGAAAGGTACATCAAGGTACTAAGGCATGTCCTGCGCAGGCAGCGGGGAGTCAGCGAGGACCGAGGCGTTGACATGGGCGACGCCGTCGAAACGCTGGCGAGTGTGCGGGAGGTGGCCTTGAGCTTCTGGCCATAGGTCGCCTGCCCAAAGATTCAGTTAGGCGAGGACTTGCTCCAGTTCCATTCCGGTCCAAATCACTTTGACTTCTCGCCTCCTCAAGGCCGGAATGAAACTTCTCGCGTGGCTTCCAGCGGCTTGTACCCTCATTGTGAACACGGCCTTGTACAGGTTGGTATTTCACCTGGCATGTTTCACTCAAGGAAGTGTTTAAGGCTTCATTTTTCGACTCGTTGCTTTGGTGGATCGGATATTTAAGGACCATGATCACGTACACATTGAGTACTGTTTGATCTTTATTGTTAGATCTTGCGACTTTTCGCGGCACAGTGGATTTCATGGCGTTTCGACTTTTGCGGCTGTTGCGAGTTGTCAACTTTGCAAATGGTTGACTTTGTTTCTCAACGTTTGACTGGTCTTGTTTTTCTGAACTTTTCCACCCGTAGTTTCTTGGGATTTGCGGCGGTTCGACTTTTCGACTTTTTTTGCTTCTCACAGCTGTTGTCTTGTGTGTTGCGTTCTTTGACTTTTGGAGTGTTGGTCGGTTGTTGTTCTGTTCCAGCTTTTGATTTTCACAACTATGCAGTTTGCCTTCTATGCTCGTATTTTCAACATCGTGCGGCTTTTGCTCGCCTATAGCTACCTAATGAACCCTGCCGACCTGTTCTTGTGTTGCCCGGCCCGATGCCGGTACATTGTCCGTGGATGTCAGCACCAGCTCATTGGCAAACCCCACCAAAAAGAGCAAGCCCAAACCGGATCACTTTTTGCCAGCAAACAGCTTGTTCTTTGTTCGGGTTAAACTCACAATACAAAATATTTATTCATTGACTGCATGTCTGGAAAGAAAGCTGGACCCAATCTGCTTCGTATCTTTTTCCAGGAGCACACTTTGACGTCTCCTTTTGACCGGGTCTATTACTGGAGTCACCCACTTTTTCTTGCCTCAATTGGCTTTGACTTGCGTGGTTCATTCGGTTACTTGTTGAGGGCTTCTTTTCGGCTTCCCTTCAAAGTCGATCAGGAAAAATCAGCACGACGTGACCTCCCCCACTACGAAGAGGGACGCTCTCGCCCACCCTCGCATCCGCATGTCAGACTCACCCCCGTGATCAAGCCAGTGCCCTGCCCGACTCGAAATGCCTTCTAGATGCAGCTTCATGAGTGGATGTTTGTTCTCACTGACTAACGTACCATGAGATGCGAATGGGCCAGTCGTCAGAATTGAATTGAAACCGTACACATTAATTCATAGCCGAGCTGCACCAAGAAAAGAGCTGCTGTATAATGGTACTTAGTCCATAACATGCCAGCGTTGACATTCTAATTCTTTAAATCGCTAACAGCTAGGACGTGAAAAAGAGAGAGAGATGCAAGACAGCAGGCAGTTAAATATATGGCTGGGACAACAGTAACAGATCTAGCATGCCCAATATTTTGGTTCTCATCTTTTTATGAACGTTGAATCCGTTGGCTATTCGATGACAAAGATCAAGAGTGGGAGGGTTGAAGATGCTGCGCTTCACCACAGCCCTGCTGAAGACGCCATTCCCGGCTTCGCAGGCGGCTACGCAAACACCATCGCACCCTCCACTTGGAGTTCGGCTGGGAGGGCTCAGGACCCCAAGTACTGCAAAATCCTTCTAGAGTGATCATTACAAAGATAGGATGGGAATGAAGGCTAGCAGTTGAAGGTAATTGATAGTCTCATTGTTCATTTCTTTGCCCTCGCCAGCAGCTGGGATAGAGAGGGAATGGAATTCTAACTGAGTTGTTGCACAATTCCGTTCCTTTTCAAACATAAGAAAGAAAGGCGACTTACCTGAGCTGAAGGCCAAGCCAAGAAACAGCAATGCACTCCGTGTCACTCGTTTCCTTTATCAGAATCTTTGTTTTGCTTTGTCTTTCTGACTTTAGCAACTATTGATCTTTCGCGACTTTTAGACTTTTGGTGACTTTGCAGGACTTTTCAGGACTTTTAGACTTTCCACGACTCTTGGACGTGCGGCTTTTGATAAATTTTGGACTGTTCGCGACTTTTCCTTTCGTTGGTCTTTTCGAATTGACTTTGCGTGACTTTTCAACTTTTCGCCGTGTTGTGGACTGTTCGTGTTCGGCGACTTTTCGCGGGGTTGCGCAACTGTTCGACCCCCTCACTTTTCGACAGTTGACAGTCAAAGGCTGATTCTCACCGCTCCGAAGGGTCACTGGGCAGCCGCACAGGCTTCCACTGCGTGGTACCTTTTAGCACGGTGGCTCCGCAAGCTGCTGTAGCCTCACGTAATTCCGTAACTCGATTGCCCACTGACAGCTCAACTCTGGACTGCCCAAAATCGGCTACCAACTAAGGAGGCTGCCAAGTACACCATGCTTGGCAATGGAGGCGATTGGAAGATAGAAAGACAAACCTTTCTTCGGACCCGTCCTTTGGAGCCAAGCATCCTCATAACATCTGATTTTCAATGGGAACTTTGGAGCATAGGTGATTGGCTTCTTGAAAGCGGACATGGTCAAGCCTTGCATGAATCTCTGCGATAATGGAAGCCAGGAGAGCCCCTTGTAGGGATCCCCTGAGTCCCAGTTAAAACTTGCGAACGAGCCAGAAGGGCGCGGCCGGGCGGTACTGCGAGAACAGTCTGAGGCCAACTTCCGTGAGGCAGAGCAGGCATTGCCTGATTCGAGTGTCCGACCGAAGATGCTGCGAAGCGTCTCCATAGCGCTTCGTTTGTCTTCCGCTATCTAAACATGCCTGCAGGCAGAAAGGAAACACCACTTTGCAACTCATTGGTCCTGAAGCAGATTGCAAACTCACAGTTGAATGATTAAAACTGGATTTGTGCGGCCTGGCATCGTAACAGCTCTTCGAAAACTGCTTCTGACTGCTGCTACTGCTCTTGCTTGAGTCAAAGCGAGCTTGATGCGGACAGTGCAGCACGGAGCAGGGAACAGCAAATCTGTCTCCCGTGTCACTTGTTGTTTGCGTCGGGGACACATTCCACAAGCGCGCTGGGCGCATGTCTTGCTGCAGCTATGAGTTAAACAAGCTGCACAGTATCCCAATCTGAGGAAAGCTTCACACCTTTTGGCCACGAGTTTGCACAGAAACTTCGCGCAAAGGTTTGAAGTGGCGAACGCCTCGAGCCTAGTGAGGCGTCTGACAAAGGCAGTGCTTGGGGGTCCCAACCAAGGGATCGCCTCCAAAACCCTGCGGCGAGCAGCGGATTTGGCCCTGCACCTAAGCTCAAAGACTCAAAGACTCAAAGCCATTTCGGGCTTTTGGGCAAAGGGCAGATGGCAACAGGAAGCGCAACAGGAAGCGCAACAGGCGACATGGAACCGTCCCTTCGGGTTCTAACTCGTCTCAACGCATCCAAGGCCGGCGCTGTCTTCATCCGGTACACAGACTGCACAGTCTCAGCCAGGCTCAGCGCAGCGGTCTCCTCAAATCGTTCACGTTTCTGAGCCAAGACCTCGAGATGGAATTCCTGTTGGGAGAAACTGTCAAACGCAAAGGGATTAATATGGGGCTATCACAAGTTGACAGTTGTGGACCGGGTCATAAGGCAACCGACTGCAAGAGTTAATATGGCTGGCATCCAAACGTCCTTCTGTTCAAACTTCCGGCCATAGTAGGCCTTGCCATGGCAGTGGCACCTGGGACCCGTCAGACTTTCAGGCCCGGAAAAGCAGCTCTGCAAGTGATTCATTCCGGGAACTGAAGAACGCACAGTTGAGACATGTTGAGACTGGCAACATTTCCCCTTCGTTGGCGCAAATAGTGGCAGGCCCGTCGTTGGCAGGGCTCTTCATCTGCACGCCTTGCATCGCCTCCGCAGGGCCGCATGCTTCAACTTTCCTGCCTAGCCCGAATTCGGGAAGCCGCTTCGAAGCATGTCAATATTCGAATGGAAAACAAGATTCAAGATAGAGCAACTGGCGTGGAAGTCCGAAAAAGGGCCACACCGAGTTGGCCTGCACGCCTGCCATGCTTGGCGCGTGCAGAGGCATGAGCCCCCTAGCAAATCCTTTTTCGTTTCAACTCTCGCCCTCCTATGACTGCTCGCAATCCCGCCTGGCACAAACACTGCTTCGGCCGGTTGATCTGAGGGTCCCCTCCGAAATCGGAGATGGAGCAAGCCTGCGGAAGGGCTGAGTCTGCAAATAGCCGTTTTGCTTGTCTCCAACACAACCTTTCCCAATTGCAGTGAAAGCATCGCAGCCATTCTAATTATCCGAGCCCCTGGCAATGTGACCGCTGGCCATCATGGTCCTGTGTTGTGCCAGCGTCATCTGTGACAAGGTCAGGCGATCCCCATCCTGCGCGCGAGAAGCCACTGGCAGTGCGATGACCAAGCCGAGACTCTATCAAGCGCCAAACTCTTCAAGCAAAGTGCTTCACCCGCACAGCACAATGCACAACCCACACAAGGAGCAACACACTGCTCCTCACGCCCATCGCGCCGCGCCTTGTCATTGTCGAACTTGCGGCCAAAGTAAACCCGGCCCGCGCAGCGACACATCTCGCCCTCGGAGCCACAGTACCTTGGGCACAGAACCGCTCTCGAGCCGCATTTCCAATGATTCAATATGATTCAATATCCAGACCGTCCCACGTTTCCCTCAATCCTGGTAGCAACAAGACAGGGAAACACGCAAAGGAATGTGCTAGCCGGGGGGTTGTTTGAGCCGAAGGTCAACCGGGACATTTCAAAGCTGATGAGCCATGCAATGACCAACAAGTGGTCATCTTCGGATGCCTTTGGTTGCGCCCCAGGGACGTTGCAGGCCCATCGTCTGCAGGCATGTGAGTCAAGCTGATGTTGCCCAAGCCTCGGGAACTAAGCGACTCAAGCTGTGAGACATGTGCTTGGTAACACAATGGGCTCAGATCTCGCAATTGCCGAGCAGCTCTTTCGAAAGAGAGCGCCCACGTAGAGGGAGGCATCGAAAATGGCGCTCCCATCGTACTCCCTGCCAAGTGGTGCTTGTGTGATCTTTCTGCATCGCTAGTGCTCATTGAGCAAAACCCGACTGCAATCGGATTGCTCTGCCAAGGAGCCTCTCGAAGCCCTGCGCATTGAAGAGGTGGTAGGCCAGACGGTCCACGGGGTTCTGCGCAACAAGACACCGCGGCCCTAGGTATACCTCCGACCCACACAGCATGTGTGCCGTGCATTTTGACCGAGGGCTTGCATTCCAGGGTTACCCGGTCGCAACCGCCCCTCCTTGGTCTTGATGGACTTGAAGTAGGGCAGGGCATCGCTGAGTTTGCGCTTGGTGAAGAGCACTGTGCCGAGGCCTCCCAAAGCTGAACTCTCAGCCGCGGCGTGTCGCCAACCATTTTGACCCTTCCGCCTCATTTTACCCCAACCGCATTTGGTGCTCATGAAACCAAAAGCGGTAGCCAGCCAAGTGCCCCTTCCTGCCTTCTGGCACGAAGGACTGGCCATCCTGGCGGGCGCAGGATTTTTTTTGCGTGAATGAAGGGTCTCTGGCCTTCTGCCTGATGCTAACGATGCCTGAACAGCTGAAAAGCGGCAGAAACTTTCCAGTCTCACGCCTCATTTGAACACATCGAACATGACCTTCCCTTAGCTTGCATCTAGTAGCTCACTAGTAGTAGTAGTAGCTCACTAGTAGTAGTAGTAGTAGTAGTAGTAGTAGTAGTAGTAGTAGTAGTAGTAGTAGTAGTAGTAGTAGTATTGCTCGCAACAATGTTGGAGGACTGAGAATTACGAGCCAGAAGGTGAGAATTTGCAACATGAAGCGATTGCCGCACAATCCCTCTGCATCCACAGCCAAGCATTCTCACAGCCAAGCTTCAACAGGTGACTCCAACAAGAGGCTTGGTTCAAATTCCTAGAGTTTGCTGGCCTTCTCGCACCCTTTCGCTCGTAAGCACCACTAAGTGAAAGTTGCAAATCGATCGAGCGAAAGCAGGGAAGACAGCACCCTCATACACCAGCCGTGATTCTGGCTGGCATTCTTGAACAAGTTGCTTGGCTGGTCGAAAACGCGACCCGGTCTTTCTCGCCCAAGGTGAAAAGCCCGAAACGTATCTTCCATGGCCTCGAGTTTGGCAACAAATGCTATCCCAAAGAATGTGCAGGCGTTTCTTAACCCGGACAGGGGCGTTCTCGCCTTTGCCCTTCAGCTTGGGCCCTGTCGTTTCTGAGTCTCGAGATGCCGTGTCAATCCGCAGTGACCAATGGGAATGGTCTTGCAAGGCAGTGCCCATCATGTCCTGCATTCAGAAACAGGAAGCAAAACTTTGTGCTCAAACACAAAATGGTGAGCCATGTCTCCAACAGTACAAATCCCTGAAATGTGCACACCACGGAACAAAATTTTTGAGCTGGACGCAACACCAAATTATAGCATTCAACCCTTATACGCTCGGAAACCCTGACTACGATGTACCACCCACCATCCACTCGCGTCCTCTTCCTTGCACTGGCCGTTTCACATCTCGACCGACCCACCGTGGCCTGCTCAGCGTAGCAGTAGGTCTTCAAGCTCTTCTTGGAGCGTATGAGCTCCTCGAAGACCGGGTGCGACACCATCTCGCCCAGGCCACCCCAGTGCACTTGGCACCTGGCCACTCAGCTTCCATCTTGGCTTGAACTGGTGGCTTGGGGGTGCAGCTGAACTTCGGCGGGAAATTGCCTCATTTGACAAGCCCAAGTGGCATCCCCAACGGCCCAACTCCGGAACCCTTCCGCAACCCTCCGGAGCCACTCTGGAGGAGACCGGTCTATTTGGGCAGAGACCCCATACTTTCGGCTGAGAGAAACTAAATCAATCCGAGACGCCAAGGGCGCACTGCCCGAGCCCCGCTCCCACTGGTCGCGCCTCTGGTTGGGATCATCAGGGCAACATGCCTGAGTTTCCTTGCCGTGAGAGTCGCAGTGGTTGGTCAGCTTCTTCTTCTGTGCCTCCCAGACTTCCTTCATGAAGCTGCTGTGCCTTAAACCATTGATATACTGCACTGCCTCAAAGGTGGAATTCAGCGCAAGCAACCGGCCACAACACCTCCCTGCAGGAAAGCGACTTTCTGCCTGCCAAAAAGTTGGAGCTGAACTTCTGGCAGTCCTTGCGCCCTGCATAGGAGAGGAGATCGTATTGTCCAGTAGTGACCTTGTCCAAGACTTCCGTCAAATCCTTGGCGATCAGGATGTCAGTATCCATATAAATGCCTTGGCTCAAACTGGGCTGCTTCACTCTCCGAAACTCGGCTTCCATGCAAGAGCTTGGCTTTTGTAAGGCGGGGATCATGGGAGAGAGGTCAAGTTGAGAGCAAGCATGCGCACATGGTGCGCAAAGTTGACAAAATAGTTACTAACGGATATCCGGTCCATCCGCCCTGAACAAAGCCGTTCATTGCAGTGACAACCTCAATATTCCTATCACGTGGTGGTGAAAACAAAACTCCACCTCCCAAAGCAACTTTGAGAAGCAACAAACAGACGTGTTGCCGTCCATGGACCCAGCCGAACCAGGTTGCCACCATGATGGTAGATCAGAGCATACCGGATCACATCAGATCGAGCGCCATGGTCAGGCAGCCTCCCAAGCTACTCAAATGGCTGCGCACTGCTCGGTCTGCTTGCTCTGAGAGAGCTGCACAAAAGAAAGCTTGCACAGCGCCTAAAGTACTCCGCTGGGAGATCAGGGATGTACTCCTTGATGTTGGTGTCATTGAGAAGCACCTTAGAATGAGAAAGGAAGCGGAGCTACTCGCGTATCTGACCAAATTGTACTTTCCAAAGAATTCTGTTGGAGTTTAAGAGTGTTTTGGCAGACTTCGTGATCCAATGTCTCAGCTAAGAGCACAAAAGAAAACTCCTCCGGGCATTGGGAAGGTACTTGGGATGATAAGACCTTCATCTGCTACAGGAAACACAGTTCACCACCAAGACTCCGGCAACATTCGTCAAGCCAGCCAAGCCCATGGGGCTAGCACCGGGCTGCCACAGCGACCATGGGAATGCTTCATCCAGGATTCGATGTCTTTTTGGATAAAGAAGGGCACCTGCAATGCCAAAGGCGGTCTGTGAGAGGTCAACCCCGCCAGTGGAAAGAGTGGATCCCAAACCGTGCGGCCTTGTTGGGATGGTAGTCCCACATCGCAAAGATCTTGCATTCATTCCTGCACGCTGCCTTCATGGAAAGGGGTCAGTCAAGAAAGCCGACATAAGCCGAATTAAGCCGAGCCTTTTTTCGAGTTGGCCATGCCATGTTTCACCCGGAACCCGGAGCAACCTGGAGCAACCTGGAGCAACGAGTCCGACGGTAGGGCGTCCTCTTCTCCCGCACCAACAGGCCCAGCGCCAAGGGCAGCAGGGCAAGCCGGGCCAGCGCCAGGCGCATCTTCATTACAAGCGGGCGCTCGAGCCGCTTGAGCCGCTTGAGCCAAAGCCCCTACGGAAAGAGAGCTCGGGAGAGCTCGGGAGAGCTCGTCGCTCACTCGTCACAGGTGCAAGAACTGGCAACGGCAGACATCGACACATGAGCGACGGAAGCACATGAAACATGTACAATAGAACAGAATGCTCGTCCCTGGCCATGCAACAAGCCACTTGAGTGGATCAGAAACTGTTCGAACCACTTCTGCGCTTATGCCAAAATCCCCCCTTTCACCTGCGGCCTTGTGACTTGGACTGGTCGAATTGGCTGTGACGCAAACTGGCAGTGCCGCTTCCAACACACCCTCCGCCTGCGAAGGCAAGTAATGGATAGCACAGGCACACGGCTCTCAATGGATGAAACTTTGTGCACTGTGCCTAAGAACATGGTGTGCCGAACACAGGCATATTGCCATGGTGCTGCACAAGGAAAGGCTGCCAATTGGACGGATCCTGTCTGCTCGCAATTCGTTTCTGCCTCTTCGTGAGCATCAAATCCGAAGATTCGGCACCCAAAAGCGGAGGCAAAGGCCGTCAGCGCGACACCAAGCTTGGTCCGCCTTCATATGGAGCAGGCACCACCTTGGCCGTTTGAAACGTTTGAGCCTGAGCCTGGACTCTTGACTTGAGGCTGACTTAAATTTATCCTTTTAGTTCATGAAACCGAACATCAGTCCAAAGCTGTACGGCACTGTACGGAAAAGGTGGCCCCTGAAGAACGTGCTTTGGATGCCTTGCACAGAACCACAGTGAGTTGCTATTCGCGGCCTCGCTGGGGCCACCACGCGGTGTCCTGCGATGTTGCTCACCTGCAGACCAATGCAGTGGTTTCCAGCGAATCCTATCCTCATTCCTCTGACTCACCCAAAATGAGGAGTCTTGGCCGCTTGAAGGCCAATCAATGTACAGGTCTCAATTCCTTGCAAACTGACACACACACACACACAAGCTAGCCAGAGCTGCGGTGTCTGCAATGAAAGAGAGCGGCGACTCGTCATCCTCTGTACACTGGCTGCTCCTGAGAGAGTGGCTTGGTTTGAGACGTGTGAGCTTGTGAGTGAAACAGTCATCTAGCTGCCAATGCTGCGACGTCAAGTCTCTCAGCCTCGCTTCCCAATTCTGTTGCTCACGCCATGATCCCACAGCGGCTCCTCTCGACATACACAACGCCAGGATCTGCCTGCCGTGGTAAGGCCACAGTCTAAATGACTGGACCGGCTATCGGATCCTCTCCGAAAAAACTGCTCTAAGACATGGGGCTCCAAGATGCTCCAAGCACAATGCCTGCACATGTTGAATCCGATGACGTGTCCAAGCTGGTCGAACCGTATATGGGTGCCCAGTTCGTGGTTTCGGCATGGAACATGCATAGTGGATGTGGAACAGCATCGTTTGCAAGCTGTCGACTGAAACCATGATCGAAGGCAAAAAGCTCCAAATGTTACAACAGTAGTGCCACACCTTCCAGGAGTACCTTGAATGTGATCGCTTGCCCAGCGAGTTGGCAGGCGCTCCTTTGGTCCTAGCCTCTTTGTGAGGGTTGTGCCGTGAGTCTAGCCAAATTGACTTTCTCACTAAAGCCCCCCATCTTACTGGGAGTCGCACCACAATGCATTTGCACAGAATCTCCCAGCCGCGACGCTCCCTAACGCCCTGTCCACATCACTTGTGAAAGCAAAGGGGCAAGCAGTGCACTTGATTGAAAACTGAGCGCGCCGTGGGAGATTGCTTGGAATTACAGCGGCTCTCGCAGCTTGCCGCGAGAGCCGCTTTCATGGCTCCAGCGCTCGAGGCCTGAAGCAACAGCCTCAATTTGAGGAGATCAAACAAACTTGGTCAATAAATTACATAGAACATAAACCTCTCAACGCTCAATCCGGGAATGTCACTGGCGAGTCCTCGCCGAGCCGTGGGAGGCTCTGCGGACCTGGCTCAGTGAGGCCCTCGGGGAAGGATAGGGTCCCGCAAAAAAAAAACGCCCAATGAAGCCCTTCCATTGGCCATGGCGCTGACGCCCGGCACTTTCAGGATTGGAAAAAGGGCGACGGCGAGTTCCAAACACCGGGCACCAACCACAAACATTTACAAAATTTGACATGGGGTGGTTTTGATGCATTTGACATGGTTCTCACATCCACGTCCAGGAACGTCCAGTGAGAAGGATCTTTCCCCTGGCCTTGCGCGCCTCGAGCTTCCTGGCGAGAATGGGCCGTACCCCCGAAACCAAAATCTGTCTCGCCAACTTGAGTCTTAGTTTCTTAGTTTGCCATTTGCAAGGCTATGCCACCCCGTTCTCTGTGACGCAATGCCGTGTTTGAATCCGGGCGGACTTTGCGGCTCGCGAGTCAAGCCCAAAGCGGCCAGCCTCCCAAGGTGCTGGGCCCAAGGATCGGTGGTGCCTCAGTTCATTGGGCATAGGCCATACCTGGATCGACTCGGGGCAAGTTCCTACTTCTTTCGCTTTCTGCTATTTGCTCCTTCGAAATTTCAAGAATCTAGGCGGAAAATTGATCGCGCTTTCCCGTTTGGGCTGGCACCGCTGGACAAGTGTGGAGAAAGTGTTGCTAGGACATCAGCCCCAACTACGCGGACATTTGCGGAAAGTACTCGGAACACAAGTTGCTAAAAAGAGTGTGTGTTGAAGGCGTGTGCCTTTGCTCATTCCAGCACAACCACGAATTTGTTTCTGCTCAGTATCCATGAACTGTCCTAGCTCCCATACGTTGCCTTGCAACAGCTGTGAACTTCCCAACTTCAGGCCATTCTGAAACATGACCTGGGTTGTACTGAGCAAGCAAACGCGCGTGACCGCATTCGTAATTGCATGAAAGGCGAAATTGCAGCGTTCAAGCGCGCAGCTCAACAGTTTGTTCTGTATCCGCCTCCATCCTGAGGAAGGAGCCAGTGGTAGCGACCATGCGGGCCCTTCCGGGATATCCAGCCTCCGAGCCCAACAGACGCTATGCCCTCGGATAACGTGCGCCCAACTAATTTCTTGAAGTCCCTTGAGTGTGGGGCCAAGCGGCCAAGGAAAGCCTCGAGGGAAAAGCGCTCCGGGCCGACGGGCCCAACTCGATATGCCGGCGTCGGAGCCCACGCCTTCCGGCGACAGATCCGGGGAGAGCAGTGGCCGATCCAGCTGCGGCACCTGGCCGAGGCGAAGCATTGTTTTGGGAGCTTCACAACCCGCTTCCCAGATATCAACTCCAACCTCCCGTCCCTGCCATCCCTGGCTCTTGATCTATCTTGATCTAGCCCCAGTCTAAGACCAGGTGAGCGGCGAGCGGCGAGCGCCCTGGTGCCCTTTCTGCCCGTGCCTCCGTGCTGCGCTCCTTGGCACGCCTCGACGCGTCCTGCGCTTCGCCGGGGGTCAGCGTCCTGATCGCTGCGAGGGCGAAGGCTGCCCCAAAGCCAAAGGAAGCTGCGCGACAGTACCCCGAACCGCCCCCGCTACCGGATTGCCCGCTCCTGAGGCCCTGCATCTCAGGATCCTGGCACTAAGTCTCGCGTCTCATATTGTCATGGAAACAGCATGCTTGCGCCATGTGTTCATGACGCATGGCTTGTTCAAAGTGCAGCACTGGGTTCGTACTGACGGCCACGCTCCAGCCTGGGCAGTGCCATCCTCCGAAGCCAGCTCCTTCATGTTGAACCAGCCTGGACAAACCCGCGGCGCGCGTTGCTTTCGCCTTCCAAAGCACTCTGAAGCGAGGTGTGCCCAGATCCCCGGCCTAGAGGGGTCGGAATGTCGTAGACCTGGCCTCGAAGTCACAAGTGGACATTGCCTGTGCCTGTTGGCCCGAAACTCTCTCAAGCACGTTGGAAATTCATCAGGCGCATGAACAGTCTTGGATGCTTCGCGTGGGAAGGCATCGTGAAGGAGCTGACACAAGGATCCTCACAACACTTGCCAACGGTGCTTGATAGCAGAAGCGTTCATTACGAGTACGAGCTGCGGCCATCAACATCTCTAGGAGCATGCTGACATCACAACATTTCTTTGAGTATTCCTCGCATCCTGCCTCACCCAACGAACAGTTTCGTTGCCAACACGGAGCATCGCACGGGTTGGTGCGCTTGGTCTCTCTCTCCCTCTGGTTGGTTCCAAGGGGCGCATGAGGCCGCCGGCCCGGTTGGCCAGTGCCTCCGAGATGCTCTGCGTCTGGGCCTAGGCACGGAGTCGGCAGGAATTTCAGCCGGCAAAGGATGCCAAATGCCAAACTGAAACAGAACACATGAATCGCATGAACGTGTGAGGGGCGTGTGAAGATGCTTGCGGGCTCTGCCACAGATGCAGGATGGGACAATATTTGTTCAACAAGAGGGATGCAGCTTTCTTAGAATTTGGGGCAAAGCGTCGCAGCTGCAGTCTACGATGATGTCTTGAGTCTTCGGCTTCGGCCTCTGCCAGGATGCTTTCAGGGTCCGTGTCGAGCACGAATGCAAGGGCCTCAATTCTTTAGAGCATGCGCATAGACCGAAGTTGAGCACTGCCTCCCAGTCTTGGGCTTTAGTCTCATCACAAGTTCCCCAATCTATCCATAGATCTGTCTCCATGGGTTTCATGCAAAGGCAGCTCCAACTTGGCGGCCGGCCACGGTGGCAACTGCCTGGCCCAAGGCGCTGTTTGCGTCGAGCACGCCTCCACGCCTCGGGCGAGATCTGTGTCGTCACAGTCGGGGAATCGGGGAATCGCCTTCCAACCTCCCCAGTCGTCCCAGTCGAGTCCCAGAAACGGAGACTTCGGAGATTTTGGGAGATCGGAGCTTCGCCATGCGGATCGGAGCTTGCGCCGCTTCCGCATCGTTTGCGGCGAAATCCGACTGAAACGCGACTTGTGTCGTTTGCATCCGACTGAAACGCAGAAAAATCCGACCGAAGCTGGAGCCGCTTAAACGGCCCTTTAAACGCGAAAAGTCGCATCGCGAAGTCGTCGAAGCGCGTCGCACGCGGAACGCGTTCGGGACGCGGCACGAGACTCTCAAGCCGTCGGCCCGGAGGCGCCCGAGGCCGCAGCACGTGCGACAGCGGCACCAGCAGCACCGGGCTTTCCCACGCCTCGCGGAAGAAGCCAAAGAAAAGAAGAAGAAAAAAGAAAAGAAAAAAGAAAAGAAAAAAGAAAAGAAAAAAGAAGAAAAAAAAAGAAAAGACAAGAAAGAAAAGAGAAAGGAGAGAGGCTCGGCGTACTCGGCGTTGCCAGCCCCTTCGCAGGACTGGGGCACTGTGTCTGTGGGAATTCGGAATGCCATGGGAGCTTGGGGGAAAACACTTGGTGCGTTATCTCAATGCCAGGTCACCCAAGCTTCGTTTCTCGGCTGCCCCTAAATATCACACCCAAACGCCAAAACGGCAGTGTCCCACTGCCCTGCATGCGTGCCCAACTCTACCCTTTTGGGGCGCGTTGCTCTGGCACATGCCCTCCTTCTCGCGATAACGTTGAGCATTGGCGAATTTGGCCCGCCCGGCGTCGGGCCTTTCGGTGGTCAGGACCAGACTGCGTCGAAAGCCAACTTCTAAATCAATTCCCGATTGTCGAACAAATTTCCTGGACCAAAATGATTTCCCTAACATCGCTTGGCGGTGAGTAGTGGCAGTGACATCTCTGCTCAGGACTGGAATCTCACACGGCGTGGTCCTGGTTCATTCGCATAGCCACAAGCTACTTGCAAGCCGCGCGCTGGTGCACGGCGCGCGCCTGCTCACCTACTTGGAGCTTGGATTCGAGCACAGGGCACATCTTGGTTTGGAAGTTCGTTGAGCAGTTTTCAAAAAAAAAAAAACAGAGCCGTGTGCGAAGAGCTGAATGAATGGTGCTGGTGTTACGTCTTGTGCCACCACGGCCGAAGCCGAGCACAAGAAACAAGTCTGGCACTCTCAAGCTCGAGTCAAGCATCACAGCGCGGGCTATTTCCGCTTCACTCAGAGTCGGAAAGCCAGCGACCTGCCCACAGCAGTCACTTCAGTGCATGGGAAAAGCGGAAAAGACACCGCCTCACAATGTGCCTCACAAGCTGCCACCCGCCCGCACTGCCAAACAACTCTTGAAGCCTCGCCCCGCTGCCTTCTTGTCTGGCTGCGCGGCACTGACGCCTGGCTCTGTCCGATCCGGTGCACACTTGGCTCAAAGCTCGGCCGTGGATATGGCACGTACACAGCGTGGCGTGGAGGCAACAACTCTCACAGAAAGGGGCTTGAGCGAAGCAAGCGCGAGGATGCGAGATGAAAGTATGAATTCTTCCACATCTGGGCTTCTTATTCCTTCCTTCTTCATCCTTCACTCAGCATCCCTTACGCTTCAGGGAGCCCCGTCCGAGCAACACCGGGTGCCAGCCTCCCGCAGCCGCGCTGCAGCGCTTCGGGCGCGGCACCGCACCGCAAGCGCCTTGGCGCGACCTGACGACAAGGACCGCTCTTCAGAACTTCGGACAGCTTTCCGAAGTTCCAACACGTCCCGAGGCAATTTAATTCAAACATGGCGCGAGTTTTGAAACTCTCCGGAGCCCTCCTGAGGGATGGATGGCAGGTCTGTTCCCAACATCAGCCACATGGTGCCTGAAGGCTACTGCCAAAACTCCTTGCAACACATCAGGGTGCGTCTCCCGTCCCTCGTGCAGTCCTGTCTCGCCGCCCTTGCCTCGCTGTTCGCCATCCTCGATGCTCGACAAGGAAGTCTGGCGGAAGAACAAGCCAAGAGATCCGACCCTTGAGCGTCCACAGCCGAAACTGATAGATGAAATCCCATCCGTTCACATTTGTTTCCCTCTTTGTTGAGACACGAAGGGCAGAGGACCTCGGGGAAAAAAAAAGGAGAATGAAAACACAAGCTCCTTGAGTTCCATGAACAGATGGCCCTGCCGTCTCACGGAGCTCCTCTAGCTCGGCGTCCTTTGTCTCAAGCTCCACCTGAACGGCAAGGCTCATGCCAAGCGGAAGCCCCTGTGGGATGTGAGTCCGTGAGTCCGTGAGTCGTCTGCGCGAATCCGGGTGCTAGGCTTTGGGAAGTGCAACGCTCATCATGTATGACACCGAAAATGCGCATATTGACTCAACATTTGTTCTGCATAGGGCAGTTTGCCAAGCCGTGGTGTATCCTACTTGTTTCTGGCAAAGGACGGCTGCCTGAAACCAGGAGATCACCTTTTCGATTAATCATTCCAATGATCTGCCCCGCTTGATTCTTGTTTGCGCTCGACCCCTTGTCCCCTGGTACGTCTGCGAAAATCTCTTGGCCTTTGGCTTCAGCCCATTTGGGTCCCTTCGGAAGTCATCTGTGCACATGTCCAAAGGGATTTAACATGATTTAACAGATGAACAGGGAAGTGATTCTCAAGGGCTATTGTCTGTCCTGGCCTTGAGATTCGCTCCGCCTTTCGAATCAAAACGGAGGTTTCAGCCCCGGCAATGCCCAAGCTCACTTGGCCCCGCTTGGCCCCGCTTGGCCCCGCTTGGCCCCGCTTGGCCCCGCTTGGCCCCGCTTGGCCCCGCTTGGCCCCGCTTGGCCCCGCTTGGCCTGAAAGAGCTGCACCACGCGGTGCATCTTCTCCCGCCGCGTCATGGGGAACTCCCAGCCCTTGTCCTCGGACGATCTCGGGCGATCTCGGGCGATCTCGGGCGACGCCCCTCGGGCGAGCCCGCTCCGATCGGAAGGCGTGCAGTCGGAAGGTTTGACTTGCGAAGTTTCGGAGGGGCCAAGTAACTCTTCCACGTGGTCCAAGTGGTCCAAATGGGCCAACCAAATTGGACGAGGCCAGGCTCCAATTGCATCCAAGCTGCGGACAGGCGATTTGCTGCTGGCCGCGCAACCAACATCGAGGCACGGTGAAGGCGTACGATCTCTTCTCTCAGACGTTTGATGCGCAGTGGCTTGCCGAATAATTGGCTGTGCCAGATATCAGATCATGCGCGGCACGAGCGAGCGAAGTTCCGGCTCCGTGCTTGAAACCAGCTGCGTGAAAGGAGCAAACCGGAATGAACCTCACAAAGCTTGCGCCGGAGTCTCGCTTGCGTGCCTCAGCGCGGCGGACACAGCCTGGCAGTGCCTTGAAGGCCCAAGGGCCGATCTGGAGCCGACACGTCAGTTCCGGACTGCAAATGGCTCAAATGGCAAAGACCGAGTCGAATCCAAGAAGCCTTCTTGACTCCAAAAACTACATCAAGCAAGAATTCTCCCGTCAAGGCTCAGTCCAAGCTTTCAAAACGCATGGAAACATGGGACAATTTTCTTCAAACAAACAGCTTTGTGCAGTACTGGGCCGCCCCACACGCCGTCGCAAATCCAAGCATGCCTCAGAGCCAACTGTTGTCGGTCTGATCGTGGCAACTGTAACGGCTCTCTCTCTCTCTCTCTCTCTCGAAAGCCCATAAGCCCGTCCAAAGCTGAATGCCCGAACTGAGCGTCAAGAGACCCTGCCTCCCCGACATCCTGCGCATGGGACATCTGCAGCTGCACAGGTCCCAGCCTCGGTCGTGAGGGGCCGCAAGCCAAACATTCTACACTCTGAGACTCTGCGACTCTTTTGCTATTTTCGATGAGAGCAGATGCCAGCTCCGAGTAGAAGCCATTGCACGCACCGGATTTCCACGCATTGGATGCATACCTCCCGGCGCTATGTCGTTCCAGCCATGTTGGCCAGCCACGGTGACAAGGGGTCGCCATCAGGCCACCCTTGGGAACGCCGGGTCATGAAGTGTCATGAAGTCATGAAGGGCTTGGAGATTTAGGGGCACGGAGGTTCAGGAATGAAGTGGGTAAGGGAGTACAGGGCCCGAATGCGCAGTGCCCACGACCCAGTTGAGTTTCTACACGACAAATGCCAATGCAGAAGACTGCCCAACCTGGCAGCCCTAACTCCAACCGGCTGGGTGACTCAAAGACTTGCCAAAAACTGAACGTGGCTTCTCTTTCGACAGGCTGCCGGGCTGCCGGGTGATTGCGCCCCGCACTGGAATAAAACTGCCAAAAGCTGCGCACACTTGCAGGCTGCGAGTTGCAAGCATGGCTGAAAGCTCTGATCCAATACCTTGGTGAAGCATTTAAGCGGTTGGAACTCTCCAGGCACCGTATGTGGCCGTTGCTTTGAATACCCTTCAGTTCTCTGCAATGCCACAAATCGGCCACACCATCACATCAAGAAGCAAGGCCAGCGCCAGATCTGCGGGTCCCTGACACGACAGTTCAGGTCAACTGGGCCCGCCCACGGCCATCCGAATGAAAATTTCCGTTCTAGCTCTGGTACTGTCTTCTTTCCTTTCAATGTCTCTCGTAGCGCTGCTCAGCCTGCCAGCTCGATCGTCACATCAGCGTACCTGGCCACACGGCCCACCCAATTGAATGCAAGCACGCGTGCGCATCTGAGGCTACACGTGAATGACCTGGGCATCCCTGCAAATTCATGCTTCAACAATGCCTATCCCTTGAAGCCGGGTGCCTCACAAAAAGGATTTTATGATGGTACTATGCAGGCGCGCAGCGGTTGCCACTTGGACCGCGCCTGCACTTGCAGCTGGGCTCAGCGCTCTGGCGCTCTCGGCCTGACACACAGATTCCATACGTGCCACTATCAATGATTTATGCAATTCCTTGAACTTCCTTGATCAAAATGTTGTTTCCGAAATCTACAGTTTCCAGCTGGGTCAAGGATGGCTTGACTCATATGCAGCCGTCAAGCCCTGGATTGCCAGCCTGCCCGACCGACGCCTGCATCAGCAGGGCCTCGTCGCAGCCGCAGAGCCGCGCGTCTGCCAGGAAGGCGGGCAGCTGCGGGTCCCGTCGCTGGATGGCCTCACAGACCGGCAAATTCCTAGACGCGAGAATCACGAGGCGATCGGAAGAAGGAAACCAGAGGCAGACAGAGGCTGACAGAGGCGGACACAGAGGGTGCAGCTTGTGGGACTGGTCGGTTGCCTTGGTTGCCTTGGTTTTCTTGGTTGCCTTGGCCGTTTTTTTCCAAAGCTTGGCCCCATGCACCCGTTGCAAGAGGTGAGGCATTAGCTACCCGACATGGCAGCGCTTGCGCGCATGTCGAGTCCTATGGACCTATACAACGACCCGTTGCGTGGGGTCAAGCCTCTCGGGCTCGAGTCGGCAGTGCCCAAAAATGCCACACATTTCGGTGCTTCATCCCAGCCACGCGGCGCACGCGTGCTCTGGGACCATTCCATCGCCACTTCTCGGGTCACTGGACACATCAAGCCAGCTGAACGCCACCAAACCAGCACACACCTTGTTCAAACAATTGATTTGACTGATGGCCTCACAGCTTGATTTCCGGTGACCTCTCAGGTTGAACTGCACTTTACATGTCTCCGAGAGGAAGCAAGAGCCAGCTGATCGTGGCGATGGCTCCAGCGCAAGTGCAAGATTCACCTCACGATGCAGAGCCCTCGGCAGTGGCAGTCTTGGCCAGACAAGCCTCCAGGGGGGTGAAGGTTCTTGCTTGCAAAACAGAAGGAACCTCAACTATCAAGTGGCGCTGAGACAACAGTCCTTGCACTTCCGCTTGCCACATGGCTTTGCCAGCTGCGTGATGGTGCTGTTCTCCTTGTCGATCTGCTGATTGCAAACGCAGCCTCGGAGATTGGAGCTTCGCAGGGTAGGGTCACTTTTGCTTGGACCCCGGAGACACTCAGTGCTCCAAATCTGTTTGCTTGATCTGCTCACGATTTTCTGATACGGGCTCTGGCTCGAGCCAGCACTACCACAGAACTTGCTGAAATGGCGGAGAGAAACCTTCGGATAACTTGCTCTTTCCTTCCAAGGAGCAAACCTTTGCCACCGGGATCAAAGCCGGCGGACGAGCTGGCGCTGCGGAACCTAAGACTGGCTCAATACGACTGGATTTCCAATCGGCTTAAAGAATCTTGGAGAGCGAAGGCTGTAGAAGTGTATAAGAAGCTTCAAAAGGAGTCTTACAAGCGGCTTTACAAGGAGCCTTGTGACATTGCGACCAGCACATTGCTGGAGTCTACAAAGACCTTTCCTGTTAAAACACTAAACAGCCTCGAGCAAACCCATGGTTTTTCTGGTTTCTTGAGGTGTTTTTGCTGTTCCCTGTTTTTTTTTGTTTTTTTATGTGTTTTTGTTTGTTGTTGTTGTCTTTTTTAATAAATGAGCTTTTGAAGCAAAACAAGAAAAAAGAAACAAACAAAAGGCGCATGATAAAACCGACAAAGCCGTGTGTTTTTGTTTTTTTGGCTGCGGAACCTTGCTCCGGAACCGTAGCTTTCAGCTGTTGGAGAAAAATAAAAATCCAAGAGAATGGCTGGTCTGGCCTCACATGTTTGGTTTGTTTTTTTTTCGTTTTTTTTTTCCGAGGTTTTGTTGTTTTGTTTTGTGCATCTTTCCTTGAGCTTTTGGAGTCAAACAACAAAAAGGACGGGACTTGTTGCTTCGATGGTTGAGGGGCATGAGAAACCCAAAAAAGCCCTGTATTTTTGTTGGTTGTTTGGCTCCAAATGATTTCAAAAAAAAACATACAACCCAGGCAAAAACAAAACAAAGAAGAACCTCAAGAAAGCCAAAAAAACAAAATTCTCAGGCCAAAGCAGCCCTTTGTGCTCCAGCAAATCCAAGAAATACACCAGCATAGATTCCAAACAGCAAAAAGCATGCCAACGACTGCGCTCCGGCACCTCCAACAGCACCCCCTGCGGCAGCACCCTGCAACAGCACCCTGAAACAACACCCTGCAACAGCACCCTGAACAGCGCCATGCGCCGGCACTGCAGCAGCCCCATGTTGAGTCTTGGCCTGCAACACTCGGCCTTCGTCTCGGACTGCAGCAGCACCCTGTAACAGCTCTCTGCTGCAGCACCTTGCGCATCTCTGAGACTCGGCCTACTTGCGACGGCACTGCAACGGCACCCGGCAACAGCACCCTGCGCAACTCAGCACCCTGCGCAAGCTACCTCCAACAGCACGCTGTCACACTGCAACAGCCCGAGTTAGCACCCTGCACAACAGCACCCTGCCGCAGCAGCACCCTGCAACAACACCTGGCCGGAATTTTGAGACTCACCCACCCTTGCTTTACCTACCCCTATTACTTTCAATTATCTGGGGAAAAACATCGCGCTAGATTTTACGAAGGACAGCGCAGCGGATGAGCGTCACAGCGTTCTACGGCGAACGTGTACATATATTTAGTTCCGGAGGCAAAGCAGCTGACCCGCATAATGCGAAGGGCTTGCCAGAGAAAAAACATAGCGCTATGTTTGAAGCGGAGCAAGGAGGGCGAAAGAGGGTCAAGCAAGTCTATCGCCAAAATATACAACAGTATGTCCAACAACAAAGCAGCCGAAACGAAGCACAGCAAAGCCCTGCAGCACCCCTGCGCAACTCCTTGCTGAACCTTGCACAGCTCGTCCTGCAGCAGCCCCCCAGCACCCTGCGCAAACTTGCAACAGCACCCTGCGCAACTCTGAGTCTCGGCCCGCAGCGGCGCCCTGCAGCACCCAGCGCAACTCTGTATCTCGGCCTGCAGCAGCACCTGGCCGGAATTCTGAGTCTCACCCACCCCTCCGTTACTTGAAGTTAAAACTCCTATAGCTTTCAGCTATCTGGGCAAAAACGAAAATCGGAGGCCAGACCAGCCATTCTCTTGGTCTTATTGTTTTGGTTTTCTCGATTACTTGTTTGTTATTTGTTTGGCCGTTTGAGCTTTCCTCGAGTTTTTTGTTCTTGATGAGTAACGGGAGGTGCAGCAAAAATTGTCCAGCAAGAGCTGTGGCATCCTAGCCTTACAGATCGAAACTCGGCCTAGTTGTTCCTTATATGTGCACCAAAACATGCAAAACACACTGTACATACCAGTGCTTTTTGAAGGGTGAGATACACATATGTGCTTTTTTCGATGACGATCGCTAAATTTGAGCCATTGCTCTTCGGATGATGGTCTTCTCAGGAGGCTTGTAGACCTTCCCCTGCTGCATCGCGACGAGGGTCAGGACGCACTCCTCCCCAATATGGCTCTTTGGTTACTTGCCCTGCCAACCTACACTTGCATCAAGCCTCAAACGAGACATTTGTGGCCATTTCTGTAGTTCTCGGCTCATGACACCCGCTGAAAACTTGGCACTCGCCAGCTCGCTCCCTGCCTGACACATCCGCAGGTGAGCGGGTTGCCCCAGCTGCCGCTTGGAGAAGGGCTTGCCTGGGCGGATTGGAGCGTAGCCGATCTGGATATCAATCAGGAGTAAGGAGGCGCGCCCGTTCGCGCCTTCATTGACGGTCTAGCTTCGCGGCATGCAAAAGATTGTTCAGTCCATTCAAAAATATGCAAGGAAACGGGGCCATGCGCAAGCAATCTATGCCAAGGGGCCCTCCTCGCCGCACCCCACGCACACGGCCGCCGTGGGCAACGCTAAAGAGTTCCTGAGCTCAAATCCAACGGGCTTTGGGAAAAGGTAAAGGCACCGGAAGGCATGGATTTGGACAGTCGAAAAGGCAAAAAAATAGACGCAGCGCCTTGGACACGCAAAAGGTAGAATGTGCGAGGCAAAGTCTCTCGCGCAACACCAGGTTGTGAACATCCAAGGCTGAGAAGTTCTCCATTTCCGCCAGTCGCCACATCCAGTCCTCTCAGAGCCGGCAAAACAGAACTGCATTCATGCTTGTGCATGCTCGTGCATCACAGTTGCCAAAGGGATGCTTGAGGAACAGTTGGCAGCTCTTCAGTGCAGGCAAAAGATGATCCGGCAACGCAAGCCAGACAGGTGACAGCTCAATCCTGGTTGATCTTTTCCAGCTCTCTATCCCGGTAGCCATCATTCTCCTCATCCTCATCTGAATCCGAATCCTCGTCCTGCCCAAGGGACTGAAGCCAGTTGCGCAACCCGCCCTTTCTTGTTGAACATCTTTGGCCTCCCTGACAAACAGGCTGCCTCTTAGCCTCCCCATTTCGCTCGTCCTGTGCTCGGCGACTTGGTTTTTGGGACCTACTTACTTGCAGGCGAGATCTAACCGCCTGTTGCCACAAATCACGGTTGTGTGAAGGACTTTGCGATTTCTGCCTCAAGGGTGCCAAGTATCTGAAAGCTTGTCAGCTCGGCGTTGCGAAGCAAACACTTGGGCGGTTGCACCGTTCAGCTCAACTTATGCCCGATTGCTTGTGCCCGGTGAAGGTGGGCCCCACTCGCCAGACATGCCGGCTGAAACATTGCTCAGCTGCGCAGCGCACGACTCCTGCGAGGTGAAGCCGCTCTGCTCCGGCATCTTCCGCAGCTGATCCCGGAAGTTGGCCATCAAAGTCTCGACCGCATCCAGGTCGATGGGTGACCTGCGTTCTTTCAACAGGACAGCGCCAAGTTCTCTTCAGCCAGCCAAGTCGGTTGGCACGCTCCGCATGTGCATTTCCGAAATGCGTAGCTCCAAAGGCAGCCCCGAGATTCAAACCTTTCGCTGAGCTGGGCGCATCGCTGTCTCGGCCACTAGGGGCACAATGCGGCCCGGCCATGGGCCGCGCCGCAGCGGCGGCGCCTCGGCCACCTGGCAGCGCGTACACAAATTCGGCCACCTGTATGTGACATATATGACATATATGTGTCGGTGTGTGTGGGTGGGTGGGTGGGTGGGTGGGTGGGTGGGTGGGTGGGTGGGTGGGTGGGTGGGTAGTAGAGGTTTGGTCTCTGAATCTATTCCGGAGAAAGTCCAACATGCCAATATGGATGATTGGAGGATGGATTGTCCCTGGTGGCTTGACTTGACTGATATTCCTGCTAGCGGTCTCTGCAAGCCTTTGTACTGCTATCGCATGAATGCAATATGCTATATACAAGAGGGCCTTGAGCCAAATGGCTGCAGGAGATCAATGGTGTAACAAACCAAACACAAAACAGACACAAATTTCTTATGATCTCCAGCACTAGATATGAAATATCGTTGGCTTCATGGCCTTACGTGCCGTAGCCATACTTGAAAGTGTGGGCCGTAGCCATCTGCTGTTACAAGATAAAAAAACGTTTTGTACTGACTCTGCGCGATACCTCAATGTATCGAAAAGTGATGCACAACGCTATGCGCATGCGGGACGGATGTGAAACTATTGATCTCTCGCAGAATAGTCTTGTTGGCGGTGAGGATCAATCTGGTTGTAGTTCGTAGTGCTGGTCGTGTGAGTCTTCTTGGTCAGTCGGATGAGTGCCAAAGGTGGCTCTTTCATCAAGTGATCAGCGGTACCAACGACGGCTGCTGTCAGATTGACTGCCATAGTCTCCATAATCATTCCAGGTCAAATCGCCATAGTCCTTCCAGTGCTTTGGATTGCCCCAGTACTGCTTGTTGTAATCTTTGTGTTCCTGCTCAGTCCAGGATTGCTTCTTCTTGAGGTGCTCCTTGGATCTCTCAAAGTTGCGTTGTCTGGCGGCGGATCTGCTGCGGATATATACCATCAGCGGACTGCGCAAGTCGGAATCTTGTAAGCCGTTCATGAACATATCGTTGTTCACACGCTGAAGAAGCGTTCCGCGGATGAGACCTGATAGTCGAAAATGGCAGACGTTGGATCGTTCCGCATGGCTTCCAGTTGTTCATCGCTTTTGGCGTTCATCTCTTCCTTCCGGAAAACCTGCTGGATATTCGTTTTGCCCCACCCAAACACGAATGTCATCATCACATCTGGGAATGTTCGATCATACCCTGATCCAGTCTTCATGTACAAGTGATGATGAACAATGGATTTGATGGTGCATGAGGCCTCCATGGCATACTCCATTCTGTCCACGAGTGGAAGATTCTCCGTCTCACTGATAGGCCTTCATGAGGATATTCATGAGACCATTGGCTGGATTGAATGCTGGAGTCTGCTGTAGGAATTCGCGGATTTGTTGGCGTCTCCAGTGCTCGCGTCACATTGGTACAATGTTACGAGTGGCAGGATTTCGTTCTGAAAATCTTCCCTTGCTGCTCCATGGCTGATGGAAGGATGAATGTGGAAAACCCCAATGGTAGCAAATGGAAGGTCTGCCCTCGTTACGTGGCGGCTGTCAAACTCGAGGAGTGAATTGTTGCATGATTTTGGGAGCATACCACGATACTCATCACTCTGCTCGATGTGGAGAACGACAATCTCTTTGTTCCGTCCGTGTCCTTGGACGATGGTGCCTGCTGGCAATCTTGGTCCGATGTACTTCTTGGACTCAGTAAACATGGGTGTTCTCGTAGTTGCCAAACAGTCCGAGGTCGGAATGTCGTATTCGGGATCAATGCAATTTTCCTCGGTTCCGAAGAAACATCTGAACATCCCGAATGTGGTTCCCCAATACTGACTCTTGGAGGAATGCGTCTGCTTCATTGAGGCATAAGATGTGTGCGCTGTTCTGCATCAGCATCTTCACGATTGGTCGATCCTTCATCGCCATGTTGCGCACCTCCCTGCCATTTAGTTTTGGATTCCTCGTGAGGTTTCCATGGTTCATGGTAAGCATGTTGATCGTCAGGGATGAGGTGTACTCATGCGTCTTGAGATGGTCCACAGGAGGACGGTCGGTCGGCTGCATCAGCGATCCCAGGATATCGGCAAATGCTCGGATGGTTTCCGGGTCGTCATGTGACCTAAGCTTCTTCAATCCAAGCGGAAGCTTAAGAACCCACATTGGTGCCGACTTTCGGCCTCACACCACCAGCTTTCGAAGACGGAGAACTGTTGAAACAAGCATAAATTGATGTTCGTCGGGTTGAACACTGCCGGGTCCGTACGCCGCTGCTGCGGCGCTGCTGCGGCCGCTGCTACCTGAAGCTGCTGATTCCCAACGCGCGCGTCCCCACGCACAGGTTCCGTTCGCTGCTTCTCGTCCTGCCCGGTGCCCCATTCGAAGAGTCCGCCATTGGCTGCTTCCAACCACCTGGTCAAATCCAAGTATTTCCCAATGTCAACTGTTTTCCTGACCGGGAAACTAGGGTCCAAGATTGGCTTGGACTCTGGCCCGCAAGGCAAGTGTGCCCTCCAGAGAGCGCAAGCGGTTCTGGATTCTGTTGTTGTTGCCTACGCCAATCCAATGCTGGTCGTTGTACAGCAGAGAAGTATACTGCGCGGCAAAATCTTCGAAAGCGCCAAGAACGAAGGAGCATGCCGGTGATTTTCCTGCATTGGGGTCGCCTGTTGGGCACGCCCACCACCTGGCCTTGCAAGTGAAATGCTTTGACTGGTCCGCATACAAAGCTATGTCCAGGTGCTTGTGCTGACAAGAAGCAAGGCATGCCTGAAACATGTACAAACTCGCACGCGGCCGCAAGAGGTAGAAGTGTGGTATAGCCGAACACTCGTGGCAACCGCGCTGCCTGCTCGATACTCATTTCCATGCCCCTTTGTGAACGCACGCTCGCCAGGCAGTGGCTCGCTATCTCTTGCAGGGAGTGCTCGCGAATGCACTGAGTGTACATAGACATCTGCCTCCAGACATTGGCATCAGTGGCAGCCCGGCCGCCCGAATTCGCCAGCACGCGAAACCAACTGTGAACCTCAGCTTCCGGGTCTTCCAAGTAGCAAGGAGGGGGCATGACAGAAATGGAATCGGCTTCATGTTCTCCTTCGACCTCGGGAGTGAGAGGTGACCAGTTCACAGGGACTGCCAAATTAAGCTCTCCATTCTTCGCCTCCCGCGACGCGATCTGGCACATCTGACTGCGGAAGTCCCGCGCAGTGAAGCGAGGCAGACGCGGTCAATGCGGTCGCATGTGGAAAGACAGCGTCGCTCCAGGAAGGTGGCACTGCGACAGAAACGCTGCTCGCCGGGCGCAAGGGGCGAGCAGCCCACGAGTGGTCAAATCAATCCGGTCCTCAGCATTTCTTGCATGAGTGTGCCGCCGCTCGGAGCTGCACGCCCAATCGAGCGCGGCATTCACATCCTGCAGATGTCTGGCAGCAGCAGCTTGCGCCAAAGGGTACGGCAAGTCGAAGGATAAGAGTATGGCCAGCGTGGCGCTGGAAGCGTCTGGCTGCGGGCTACGCAGCGACAAGCCCGCGACGATCATGCGCGGCACAGCCCCATCGTACGCCGAATGCGCAGGAAGCCCGTGCGCGGCTGGAGCGGTACATTCCGCGGCACCGTGGCTTTTGACCAAGCGCTCAAAATGGCCGCTAGACGCTTCGCCTCCGTGTATAACAGGAGTGGACAGGAAGTGAAGGACAGCCTAGGCCGCACGGCCAGAGCACGTGGGCTGTGTCCAACTTGATACTGCACCACGACTGCGCAAGGTTCGTGAAATACCAAGAGACCTTGCGGAAAGCATTCCGGGAATGCTTGGACCGTGGCATTGACATGCCATTCGCTGGCCAGAGCGCCGCTTGCAACTGCTTGGGCTTCAGAGTGCGCTGGGTGATCTGAGTGATTCCGAAGCCACGCAGCAACTCGTTCTCGGCCTTGACGAGCATCTCCTATCTCGTCTGCCAAAGATAGCCATAAGCAATCTCCCTCCCCGGCATTCGGCACAGCCGTCAAAGCCATTAGAGGATCTAGGCCGTGAAGCTGGTCAGGGTACTAGTCGCTGACGCTAATGGCGCTGCCGCTGCTGATGTCTTGACGTGCGATAGACCTCCTTCTGGGCTGACCACCAGCACGTCCCCTGGATGCTCTGCAAGCAACAAGGCGTCGAACATGTTGTTGTGCGGCGGATTGCCGTTGCGCCCCTCCTAATACGCGCATCTATCAAGCGAGCGTCCATGCCTCGCGTGGCCTTCCTATATACGTCCAGGCAGCGACAACACGAACACTAAAGAATCACATGGAGGGCAATCAGTACCTTATGTGAGATACATGTTCTATGCTCTGCAACATAGCCCAGGGACAAATGAGTCAGGCTCAAAATCTTCTGTTTAACGTGTTTTCCGTTCGATTTGCATCGGCTTCTGTCGTCGTCGTGGTCCTGCTCGCACCACTCACATGTGGAATTGACACCCAGCGACATAAATCAGCCCAAGGGTATGCCACCGGCCATTCCAAGCCTCGAATGTCATCCTCCCGAGCCACTTAGCCCGCCCCCAACACCCCAATCGGATTGCCAAGCAAGGCTAGGGTAAAAACAACTTCAGCAATGCTTTCGTGACAAACCCAAAAGGGCAGTGTCCAACTGTTTTGCCTCAGTCAAGGAGTCCCCGCAGTTTTTGACATTCTCCCTTACAGCCATCAAACTAGTTGCCGCCGATTCGTCTCCTGCCCAAACCGCAGTTGCCGTTGTAGCATCGCGACCGAGATCAGGATTATCACGAGGCCGCGCCGCGACAGCGACATGGCAACGAGAGCGCGGTGGACTAAGTGACCCAAATTGCTGCGTGCCATTTCCCGAGTTGCAGTCACACACGGCCATGGCCGTGAATGCATCCATAATAGATCGTCTCCGTCCCAAGATAGGATATCAACTGCCCTTTGGTACACTGCAAAAGAATGTGCTGAAACATGTGAGCTAAATAATCATTCTTCTCGCCTGGTTGATGCCTATTGTTTGCCTTCCATCCTCGCGCTCTTCCGTCTCCAGCGCGTGTCCTCCTTTCA